AGTTGAGGAAAGTAGGTAGACATTCCTGGTGTATCTTTTTTTTCTCTCTCTTTCTAAAATAGACTGATACTAACATGTGGTATATATACTTAGAAGAACCAGTCGAGAAAAATTCATTTTCAGTAACCACTTTTTACCGGTTTCTTTTTGTAATAGCATCAATTTTATGTTTGAGGCTGTTTCTCTATTAATTTGAGGATGGTAAGATTAAAACCCAAAGCACAAAATTTCTGTCCCTTGCAATATGATACCTTGTATTTATAATCTTTCCACTTAACACATTTACTATGTATTGATTGCTCTTTGGTTTTGTTTGGGACACGAATAGTACAAAGGATTCAGTGAAATACCTTTTAGCCTAAATTAGCTAGACATGGTGGCAGCAGTGTAATGGAATGAAGTAAGCTTAGAGTTGAGTCATTTCATCTCCTTTAGCCTCTCTTCTTCTGTAAAGTTGAAAAATTTTATCAGATAATTTCCAAGGTCCAATTCATTTCAAATAGCCTATGGTTACCTCTCATTTGTATATTGTCCGCTGCACTCATGGGTCAGTCTTGGCTTTTCTATTTAGTCATAAATAAAATATGCCATTTAATGTATAACTTCCAGGCAAGCTGATTGTAGTAAGTGTACATGTGACCATGACCTTATTGTAGGGAATGTAAAATCTTATGTACTCTTAGAAAACGGAGTTTTGAGTTGCAATATTTATTTGCTACTAATAAAAAGTACTGAAATTTGTGATTTTCCCAGGGCCCTCTGGGAAGTCTCAAAGACAGTTTCTGTGTAAAACATACCTTGAAGTTTTTACGATTCAGTTTTGGGAAAGCAAAATCAAAAGGTTTTAGAGAATAATCATATGATCAAGATAGGATCATGGGTGTCTGGGAATAATAGTTGGTTTCCACTTAATAAAAATGAAAATATTTAAAAAGAAACATAGAAGGCAGAGCGATATCAAGGAAACTCATCTATCACAAATAGGAAACTTGTTCTTTTATTTTGATCTTTGTTTAATAATCAAGAACATTATAAGGTTAAAACAAAGCCAGGCAAAGTATTCTCATGAGATATGGAATATATGACCAAATTATACAGAAATTACAGAGCAATTTAGGCTTTTTGAGCTCTTTAAAAACTATTATTTTAACAAAATCAACTTCTAGTTCGGTATTGACATAGTACTTAGCAGTAAAGTTTTCACACACTCTTCTCTCCCCTTGTGAAAAGTGCATCAAAGCTGGGTAAGTTTTGCTGAATTTTATAGTACAATCTGTAGTTTCTTTTTAGAATCTTTCTTCTAGATACTCAAGTTTTTCATATATCGGAGCAAATAGACACTTCAGGACAAAACTCTGAAAAACAAACTCATTCTATTATTCCGATACTTAATTGTATTTTTCCATTGGTATTTGTTCCTCGTCTCACCTACATATTTTAATTACAAATTTTAAGCAAAGTAACTATTTCACTGAGAAAACTGAAAGGAAAGTAATTGAAAACATATGCAAGCATTTTTGTAGAATAGCAAAGCTCATGAATACACAACTTTGAAACCTGTAACATTGCAAAAATGAACATGTTCATTAAATACATGACTTTATATGACTCATAGATAGCCACTCCATAGTATACAAGAAGCAAATGTAAATGAAATTATGCTGAGTGAGCGGTATTTTAGTATTGAATCTTACAATTAAATAAGTATCTAATGATTACCCATTAATTTAATATTAGTTCAAAGTTTTAAGTTACCTGAGGATCTTGGAAATTATGTTCAACCTGACATAATATGAAACATTATTACTGTTAATTAAAACATTTGTCATAGGGCACCTGACTGGTGCTGTTGGTAAAGCATACAACTCATGATCATGGGGTTGTGAATTCGAGCCCCATGCTGGGTATAGAAATTAGGTAAAAATAAAATCTTAAAAAATAAATAATATATGTCAGAAGCATAATTGAATTTGTTTGAACACACTTGATGTTTTTCTTCCAAATATTATGTAAGTAATGTTAGCTTATCTGTCAGTAGACCATAAATTTAAGGACTTCAGATTAACTTGTCTCTTGAGAAAGCAAACCCAATCTTCATTTTTTTTTAAATAAAATGTATTCTTGTATTATACAGTGTACTTCCATAGAAAAGATGCAGCCATTATTTATCTTTTAAAACCAAAGTTACTGGGACACCTGGGCAGCTCAGTCAGTTAAGCGTCTGATTTCGGCTCAGGGCATAATCTCATGGTTTGTGGTCTCAAGCCCCATAACAGATTCTGTGCTGACACTTCAGCTCACTCACCCCCTTATCTCTCTTTCTCAAAAATAAACATTAAAAAATGTTTAAAACAAAATTACTGAATCAGCTTAATTTTCCCAAAGATTCACCTTAATTATATGAACCAGGACTCATATTAAGATGTTTGTGAGCCAGTGGTTTTTTAAGAAAGATTGTTTTAAAATGTTACTTATTTTGCTGGTGTCCAATTTCAACTCAGGTCATGATCTCACAGTTCATGGGTTCAGGCCCCATATTGGGCTCAGGGCTGACCGCTCAGAGCCAGGAGCCTGCTTTGAATTCTGTCTCTCTGTCACTCTCTCTTTCTCAAAAATAAATAAACTTTTTAAAAAATGTTTAAAGCTTATTTTGAGAGAGTGCAAGTGCACATAGGGGCATGCATGTGATTGGGGGAGGGACAGAAAAAAGGAGAGAGAATCCCAAACTCAGGGCTTAATCTCACCAAGTGTGAGATCATGTCCTGAGCTAGACTGGGTTGCCTGACTTACTGAGACACTCATGTGCCACAGAAAGATTGCTTTTAATGTCTCCTACAAGTACTAGAAAAATACTGGGTTGGCGGGGGGGGGGGGGGGGGGGGGGGGTGGTGAATGTAGTTTCCAGTTACCATATTATGATATTTTAAATATCCATTTTTAACAAAAAATTGCATGCAAAGAAAAAAGTATGGCTCATTCACAGGAAGGTAAGATTGCTTGATTAGATTAAAAACCTGGTTAATGTTTTACAGACCAATACAATAACTTTGTAGTTATCTTTTCCAATAAACAGAAGTGATTTTTAATTCTACTAGACAAAATCGACAAGTAAACACGTAACTTTACTTGATCTGGGTGGGACCTTTAACCAAAAATTTAAGTCTTTGTAAAGGACTTCATATACTCAGCTAAAACAATATATCCAGACTTCAGAAACAGATCATGTCATCAAGCTTTCTGCTGCTCTCATGATATAAGGACAATCCTATTAAGCCTGTGTAGGCCATATTTACCTCAGAGAAATAATAAACATATATAACCACTTTGCTTCTAGAGCTGTATCCTAAAGACTCTCAGGTCCCAGTTTTGTTTTTTCATGATTCACTAAATTTTGCTAATCCCCATGATGACCTATTTCCTCATTTACTTTAGCCAGCCTTCCTTTCCACTTGAAAGGTTGATCTAGAATATATTTTTCTATTATTACTATTAGGAAACCAGTTTAATGCTAATTAAATTATCATAGTAGAGTAGCCACATTTTATAAAATAAAGTGACTGGCATTATTTCACCAGGTATCAAACTACAATTAATAAATAAGCTTGCTATATGAAAACAGTGCAAAACTTGAAGCAAATGAAAGAAGTTCTTGCCCTTTTCAGACATACCACTGAATGAACAAACTCTAGCTTTTTTCTAACCACTCTGACCATACCTTTTCTTTTTTTCACTTAAATGTAGATTTTCTATCTTAGCTGTTTTTGCAAACTACATGTTTTCAAGTACCAAATTCATACTGATAGTAATAATGATCACTAATGCGCTAATTAACACTATGTGCCAAGCACTGTTCTATATTCTTTACATATAGCAGCTTTTTTTTTAAAGATTTTATTTTTAAGTAATCTCAACACCCAACATGAGGCTCAAATTTACAATCCCAATATCAAGAGTAGCAGGCTCTACCAACCGAACCAGCCAGGTGCCTCCATGTAGTGGGTCTTTTAGACTACAGAATAATTTTATGAGTTAGGTACAATTATCATTCCCATGTTACATTAGGGAAACTAAAACATACAGAGATTAAGTAACTTACTCTCTTCTCCCAAATGAGTTGACTGGATTAATGAGTGATTTGTATTTATGACTTATAATATTGGCTCTAAAGGCAATTTTTTCTAAGATTGGGTCTTATTACAAAAGGCCAGTATAGAGACGACCGAAAGGTCCTGCTTGTACTACCCATAATCATTTTCTGATATCTTGGATTTTAAAAAAATCACCAATCTGTCATGGATCACATTACTGTTAATTGAATCCCCAGCAATGTATTTCTGGACATATGTTAGTCCAAGTCTTCTAAGAAGTACACACCAAGGGGCGCCTGGTAGCTCAGTTGGTAAAGTGTGTGACTTCGGCTTGGTTCATGATCTTGCAGTTTGTGGGGTTAAGCCCAGTGTCAGGCTCTGTGCTGACAGTTCAGAGCCTGGAGCCTGCTTTGGATTCTGTGTCTCTCTCTCCCTTTGTCCCTTCCATGCCCATGCTCATGCTCTGTCTCTCTCTGTCTCTCAATAATAAATAAACATTTAAAAAAAATTTTAAAGTACACACCAAGATGAGATTAAACATGTAAGGATTTGAATAAAGGAAATGCCTCTGAAAGAAAATTGGGAGGGACCTAGGAAAAGCTGAGGCCCATCAGATGCAATTTAAGTGTGACCCCAGATGAAGGAGAGGGAAGTAAGTTTGGATGAAAGTATCTTTGATTGGGATGCCTCAGTGGCTCATGAGGTTAAGTTGTCAGACTCTTGATCTCTGCTTAGGTCATAATCTCACAGTTTGTGAGTTTGAGTCCCTCATTGGGCTCTGTGCTGACAGCATAGAGTTTGTTTGGGATTATCTCTTACTCCCTCTTTGCCCCTCTCTCACTTGCATGTGCATGTGTGCACTCTCACTCTCTCAAAATAAATAAATAACCTTAAAAAATTATCTTTGCTGTGTAGTCTAAGGAACTTCAGCAGGACAAGTCCTGAACCAAAGTTGACCACCAGAGGAGTCCCCCATCTCCCAGGTATGTTTGCACCTGCTTTAGCATCCCTGCATGCCCAAAGTGGATGGAAGCAGCCCCAGGAAGGTGGGTCTATGGCACAAATGCAGTGATGGAGCTCAGAGTGTGGCTGTGGGGGCCCCTGGCCTATTAAATTCCCTGTAGTTGGAATTCTTCAAGGCACATTCTTAAGGCCAGTACAACATACTTAAGCACCTGAAGAGCTATGGCTTTATTTTAGTCATAAGGTCAATGTAACATTTTTGCTGCATTATTTCCATCACTCCTAACCTCTTGATGTATTACATTGTTAGGAATGCAGACTCACAGTCCTTGAATATGTTTTTCTGCTAATCTCAGTTGTTCATAATTTAATTCATGATATGCAACCCAGCATCCAATGACCCATATGATGTGGCCAGAAGTTCGTATGTGAAACATGATAACAGTTCTGTCTATAATACCTAGGATATAAAAACTATAACTTAATTGTTAATATTATTAGTATCAGTAAAATTTATTCAACCTATTAAGTCAAATGTCATAATCACCAAACAAGGGAGTTGTTCCATCATTATATATGGGCAATGGGTGATTCACTAGAAATCTTGAGAGCGATTCTACATGTGCCATATTTCACAGAAAGCTTTGAAACTGTTTAGGAGTGTTGCCTTGAATTAACTTTTAAGAAAAACTTTTAAGAAAAACTTTTTTATGCGTTTATTTATTTTCGAGAGAGGCAAAGACAGAGTATAAGTGGGGGAGGGGCAGAGAGAGAGAGAGACAGAATCCGAAACAGGCTCCAGGCTCTGAGCTGCCAGCACAGAGCCCAACACGGGGCTCAAACTCATAAACTGTGAGATCATGACCTAAGCCGAAGTTGGACACCCAACCGACTGAGCCACCCAGGTGCCCCATTAATTTTTTTAATGTTTACTTATTATCTTTGAGAGAGAGAGAGAACATAAGGATGTGGGGGATGAGCAGGAAAAGAGGGAGACAGAGGATCTGAAGCAGACTCCACACTGACAGCAGGAAGCCCAATGTGGGACTCAAACCCACCAACTGTAAGATCATGACCTGAGCTGAAGCTGGATGCCACTGACTGAGCCACCCAGGCACCCCAACCTTGCATGAACTTTTTACACGATAGAGGCCATCAACCAGGACACTTGCAGAAATGGAACTTAGGCAACACAATCTAATACACTCTAGACATAATACAGAAATGTCAGATTTTAACTGCATAAATAGACCTTTGCAGCCTGACAATTTATTTTCTCAGCTTCTATGCCTGCCTACCAATAGCCTTGGTGTGCAAAAGCTAGACTTTTTATTTTAGAAACATTAAAGTATTGTACAAATAATTGTAATGTGCTGGATTTTATGTTACCAAAATTTAGAAAATGGCTCATCTTCAAAATTAAGATTCATTTCAGTCAAGACTTTAAAAGAAGTTACCCTCGAGTTAACCTTTTCATAATTCTTGTTAGGTGAGGAGCAAGTCAAGAGACACAGACACACTTTTTCCTGAGTTTTGAGAAAATTTCCCAGTGTTCTCTTACAAGTTATTAAAATCATCCAGGAGTTAGCTAATAAATGTATTAACATCTTGGTCCCTAGTTAAAGCAAGTTTCTTTTAATTTAGAGGAATGGTTAAAATGGTCTATATTACAAATGAAATTTTATTTTGGAACAGTGCATATCACTCAAGTATTTTGGCATAGTATAATATGGTGATGATTACAAATACTGATTCTTCATTCTGTCATCTTGTCATTGCTAGAAAGTGTCAAAAGACATGAGTGTATCATCGGCTCATTTCTGTTTACCTCTCCCCATTTTACTTACTATTTTTACCTACTATTTGTATTTTTCCAAGAAATCTATGAAATAACCATTTTTAACTCCTTTCACAAAAATGGTTGAAATATTGCTAAAGAAAAAAAGGGGGAATTTCATTTTAAATATGTGCTAATTAGTTTGTTCTCATCACTTTTTAGATTAAACTCATTTTTCTATACTAATTAATGTATAATGTAAATTGCATATATTTAAGGTGTGTAATGTGATGGTTTGATATATACATTGTGAAATGATTACCACAGTCAAGTTAATTCATATATCTATCACTTCACATGGTTACATCCGTTGTGGCGGACACAACTAAAGATCACACAATACAAAATTATTAACTATAAGCACCATGCTGTGTAAATTAGATCTCCAGAACTTATTCATAACAAAGCATATACCTTTTGACCAGCCTCTTCCAATCCCCTATGCCCTTCTCAGCCCCTGGAAACCACTGCTCTACTGTCTCATTGCATGAGTTCCACTTTTTTAGATTCCACATACAAATGAGATCGTCTCCTCAGTAATATCTGTGCCACCGATCATGCTTTCACAATCCATTTTATACCAGATGTATTATGTGCTTATACAACATGGTCTTCTTGTGCTTATAGATGCCTTGTAATTATAAACACTCAAATATTTGTGAAATAAGTTGCAAATATAGTAAGTGTAAATATTGACTATCACACTTCTCTTTAACAAATAGAGAGCCAAAGCACCCTTTTAGATCTTTTTTATTTAGTAGGCTTCATGCCCAATGTGGGGGGCTTGAACTCACAACCCTGAGATCAAGAGCCGTAAGCTCTACCTACTGAGCTGGCCAGGTGGCCCTCTTATATCTCTTTCCTACATTTTTGGTGGCATATTCTTTGTCCCTTTATATGATCATAATTTTGTAATATTTTCAAAATGTATTTCTGTTTTTACTCAAGGTATAATTCAGTCATTTTCATTGCTGTATATCATACTTACCATGTGAACTTTTCAAAATCTAATCATTTTGTTGCCACTAGACATAGTGATTCTTTCCAGACTTTTGTTATTCTGAACAACCCTGCTGTGGACATCATTTCCTGTGTCTGCTTTTGTCCCACAACAACTCATCCTCTGCACTCTTTTTTTTAAATTCTTTTCTTAAAGTTTATTTATTTTTGAAAGAGAGAGACAGAGCATTAGTGGGGGAGGAGCAGAGAGAGAAAGAGAGACAGAATGTGAAGCAGGCTCCAGGTTCCCACAGAGCCTGATGTGGGGCTTGAACCCATGGACCATGAAATCATGACCTGACCCAAAGTCTGACACTTAACTGATCGAGCTACTGAGGCACCCCACATCCCCTGCATTCTTGCTGGCAGTGAGTGTGTGCGTGTGCTTATGTGTGTGTGTTCAGTAAATACAATTCTGATATTACTTTTTTACTTAAAAATCCTTCAATCTAGTGGCTTGGCATAACCACCTGGAATAATATTTCAGATGGCCTGGAATGATATCGAGATAACTACGGTTAACTCAAGACATTCCTTTTGAGGATATACATCAAAATAGCAATGCTGCACAGTGAGTTTGCTACTTCTCTTTCTTTTTGTCACCAGAAGCTGAAACCACTACAGAAACGTAAAGATGGATAGAAATTAAGATGGATACACTGATGCTTCAGCAAGGCTTGACTTTTAACTAAAACTTTTCTCTCTTTCTCGATCTTGAAGCCTCTCCCTCCCCTTCAATTGTTTTTCTGTAGAATTCTTTGTTCCAGGAACTTGGCATTGATATGGATATCTTGCTGACCTCAATGTAACCAGACTTGGATGGCCCCTGCTAGTGCTAGTCACCTTGGAAGACACGATGAACGCAGCTGGCTGCACTGTTGATACAGCCACCATCCTGTATTTTCCTATAAACCCACTCAGCCTTTTCCTCTGGGTGGGTCTGCAGTTTTGAAGGCATTAGCCTTCTGCAGCCTCCTCTTACTGACAAAATAATAAAACAATTGTGTGTCTTTTCTCCAAACTCTGTCTTTGTGTTATGTTTCAGCTCCAGAACACAGGTTTTGACAACAAATCCATCCTGTCCCTCTCTATTGTGTACTCTGGCATTACAGATGCTTCAAATCCGGTCAGATATGAATCTCTCATCATTGAAAAAATAAGCAACCAAGAATTCTTTATCCAGCAAAGTTGTCATTAAGAACAGAAGGAGAGATAAAAAGTTTCCCAGACAAACAAAACCTAAAGGAGTTGGTGACCACTAAACCATCCCTGCAAGAAAATTTGAGAGGGACTATTTGAGTGTCAAAATAAATAAATAAATAAATAAACAAACAAACAAACAAACCAAAACAAAAAAAGGACCAAAAGCAACAATGACTAGAAAGGACCAAAAAACATCACCAGAAACACCAACTCTACAGGCAACACAATGGCACTAAATTCATTTCTCTCAATAATTACTCTGAATGTAAATGGACTAAATGCTCCAATCAAAAGACATGGGATATCAGAATGGATAAGAAAACAAGACCTATCTATATGCTGCCTAGTAGAGACTCATTTTTGACCTAGAGACACTTGTAGATCAAAAGTAAGGGGATGGAGAACCATCTGTCATGCTAATGGAAATCAAAAGAAAACCTGAGTAGCCATACTTATATCACACAAACTAGATTTTATTCTTTTTCTTTAAATTTATTTTTGAGAGAGAGATCGAGACAGTGTGAGCAGGGGAGGGTCAGAGAAAGAGGGAGATACAGAATCCGAAGACAGGCTCCAGGCTCTGAGCTAGCTGTCAGCACAGAGCCCCACGCAGGGCTCAGACCTACAAAGCGTGAGATCATGACCTGAGCTGAAGTTGGACGCTTAACGGACTAAGCCACCCAAGCGCCCCACAAACTAGATTTTAAAACAAAGATTGTAACAAGAGATGAAGAAGGCCATTATATCATAATTAAGTGGTCTATCCACCAAGAAGATCTAACGATTGTAAATATTTATTCCCCCAACATGAAAGCACACAAAATTGATATAAATCAATTAATCGCAAACAAAAAGAAATTCGCTGATAATAATACGATAATAGTAGGGGACTTTAACAATACACTTACAGCAATGTACAGATCATCTAAGTGGAAAATCAGCCAGGAAACAATGGCTTTGAATGACACACTGGACCAAAGGACTTAACAGATATATTCAGAACATTTAATTCTAAAGCAGCAGAATACACATTCTTCTCCAGTGCGCATGGAGTATTCTCCAGAATAGATCACATACTGGGTCACAAATTAGCTCTCAACAAGTACAAAAAGATCAATATCATCCCATGCATATTTTCAAACCACAACACTATGAAACTTGAAATCAACCACAAGAAAAAATTTGGAAAGACTGCCAATACTTGGAGGTTAAAGGACATGTTCCTAAAAAATGAATAGGTCAACCAAGAAATTAAAGAGGAAATAAAAAATTACATGGAAGCCAATGAAAATGAAAACAGAACACTCCAGAAACACTGGGATGCAGCAAAGATGGTCATAAGAAAGAAGTATATAGTAATCCAGGCCTTCCTAAAGAAGGAAGAAAAGTCTCAAATACACAACCTAACTTAACACCTAAAGAAGCTAGAAAAAGAACAGCAAATAAGCCCCAAACCAGCAGAGGAAGGGAAATAATACAGATTAGAGCAGAAATCAATGATATCGAAATCAAAAAACAGTAGAACAGATCAACAAAACCAGTGTGGTATAGAAGACCCAGAATAGCCAAAGTAATGTTGAAAAAGGAAACCTTTTTCAACCTAATGTAGAGGAATCACAATTCTGGACTTTAAGTTGTATTACAAAGCTGTGATCATCAAGTCAGGGCTCAAAATGAATAAAGACCTAAATAAAAGACAAGAGACCATCAAAATCTTATAGGAGAAAACAAGCAACGACCTCTTTGATCTTGGCCGCAGCAACTTCTTACTAGGTATGTCTCTGAATCAGGCAAGGGAAACAAAAGCAAAAATGAACTACTGGGAGTTCATCAAGATACAAATCTTCTGTGAAGGAAACAATCAATAAAACTAAAAGGCAACTGACAACATGGGAGGTATTTGCAAATGACATCTCAGATAAAGGGTTAGTATCCGAAATCTATAAAGAATTTACCGAACTGAACACCTAAAAAACAAATAATCCAGCAAAGAAATGGGCAAAAGACATGAATAGATACTTTTCCAAAGACAACTAAATGGCTAACAGACACATGAAAAGATGCTCAATATCACTCATCATCAGGGAAATACAAATCAAAATCATAATGAGATACCACCTCTACCTGTCAGACTGAAATGAGCAACTCAGGAAACAGCAGATGCTGGTGAGGATGTGCAGAAACGGGGAACACTTTTGCATTGCCTTTGGGAATGCAAACTAGTGTAGCCACCCTGGGGAACAGTATGGAGGTTGTTCAAAAAATTAAAAATAGAGCTACTCTACAACCCAGCAATTGCACTACGAACTGTTTATCCAAAGAATACAAAAATGCTTACGTTAAGGGGCACATGCATCCCGGTGATTACGGTGGCACTATGAATAACAGCCAAATTATGGAAAGAGCCCAAATTTCCTTCAACTGATGGATAAGGAAGATGTGGTATATACATCTTATATATACATAATACATCTATATACATAATGGAATATTACTCAGTGATCAAAAAGAATGAAATCTTGCCATTTGCAACAACATGGAACTAGAATGCATTATGCAAAGCAAAATATGTCGGTCAGAGAAAGACACATATGATTTCATTTATATGTGGAAATTAAGAAACAAAACAGATGAACAAAGGGGAAGGGAAGGAAAAATAAGAAAAAATCAAGGAGACAAACCATAAGAGACTCTTAAACACAGAGAACAAAGTGAGGGTTGCTGAGGGATGTTGGGTGGGGGGGATGGGCTAAAAGGGTGATGGACATTAAGGAGGCCACTTGCTGGGATGAACATTGGCTATTGTATGTAAGTGACGAATCACTAAATTCTATTCCTGAAACCATTATTACATTATATGTTAACTAACTTGAATATAATTTATAAAAAAATGAATCTCTTATTACCAAGTTTTTCTAGGAAGAATTAAAAAAAAAAAGTCTTCCTTTGGGAGGCTGTCCCAGAAAAGGCTACTATGATGAAAAGAGCATAGGAAGAGTCAGATGTCCCTCATCTTCAACCATGTTACTGCTGTTTATGAACTGTCAGCTCACTTGGCTTTCTGAGTGTCTTTCCACAACAAAAAGGCAGTTATGATTCCTGAATGGCCTACCTTTTAGTGTGGTAAAGAAGATCAGATCAAGCCTCCATTTATTCCACGACACCTACCATGTGCCAGTCACTGCACTAGGTCCACAGTTGAAGCACAAGGCCCCTTGTCCTAAAAGGACACACCAGGCTAGAGCAGTGGTTCCTGGGCTGTATATGGGAAGCACCTGGAGGGTGATTTGTAAAAATATGGAAGCCTGAGTTCCCTGTGTCCCGGTCATGTGACATTGAACAAACTTTTTTTTTTTAACTTTTTTAAATGTTTTATTCATCTCTAGGAGACAGAGAGAGACAGCGTGAGCAGGGGAGGGTCAGAGAGAGAGAGGGAGTCACAGACTGAAACAGGCTCCAGGCTCCGAGCTGGCAGTCAGCACAGAGCCCGACGCGGGGCCCGAACCCACGAACCGCGAGATCATGACCTGAGCGAAAGTCGGACGCTCAACCGACTAAGCCACCCAGGCGCCCCTGAACAAACTTCTTAAGCTACTTCATAGGGTAGTTCTAAGTATTAAGGTGCGGCTCAAGCCCCCGGGAGGGCGCCCCTGCCCCGCTAAAGCCCCCGGAAGAGTACGCGCGGCGGGTCCGTGCGCAGCGCGCTCCCGCCGCGACGCCCGCAACGCCCGTCCGGGGGGGAGCGCGGTTTTCGCCCGCGTTGTCCTCACTGCCGCCCGTGGCGCCCCACCCGGAGGTGAGGAGCGGGGGCTGGGGCTAGACAGCGCGGGCGCAGGTGGGGGGCAGGGGCCCTGGCAGAGGCCCCGTCCGCCCCCGGCCCGCGTCCGCTTGTTTCCTTGGGGAAGCCGGCCGCGGGGCTGCGTGCGGTTTGAGCGCGCGGCCAGCGAGGGGCCTTGTGTTCGGGACCCCTGAACGGGATTGACGGGGAGCCTGGACGATGGCGGCGCCCTCGGCCTCTGTTGCGTCATTGCAGGTATTTTGAGGCGACGTGCATATTTCAGGGCTCCTTTGTCGGCCTCGGGGAGGACAAGTGTTTATCTTGGCCCCTTAAAGCTCGGTGTGTGCTTTGTGGTCCGCACCTTTCTCTCTTCCGGTTGATGTCAGGTTTCTTCCCTTTGTTATATCCCACTGCTCAGTTTCTTCAGGTACTTTGTGGCTTAAAAAAAAAACGTGTATTTAATTACTTTGGTTAATTTATTTGCGGGGGGAGAGAGGGAGAGGGAGAGAGGAGAAAGAGAATCCCAAGCAGGCACCCCGTCGCCAGAGCAGAGCCCCACGTGACGCTCGAACTCTTGAAGCTGGGAGAGCATGACTTGAGCCCAAACCGGGAGGCCCGTTGCTTAACCCAGGTGCCCCTATTTAGGGGCTTGGGTCTACATCAGTAGAGTTCTTTTTTTTTTTTTTTTCATGTTTTATTTATTTCTAGGAGAGATAGAGAGAGACGGCGTGAGCAGGGGAGGGTCAGAGAGAGAGGGAGTCACAGACTCTGAAACAGGCTCCAGGCTCTGAGCTGGCAGTCAGCACAGAGCCCGACGCGGGGCTCGAACCCACGAACCGCGAGATCATGACCTAAGCGAAAGTCGGACGCTTAACCGACTAAGCCACCCAGGCGCCCCTACATCAGTAGAGTTCTTACAACACTGACTATGGCCTCTACCAGACATAGATTTTTCTGTCGCATGTTAACACCAAGGTCACTACTACTTTTTTGTGAATAGTCTACTTGGTGATTTTCTAGTGATGCTGATTCCAGAGCCAAAGTTCTGGGGCGTGTATCTCTCTGGAATATTCCGTAATGCCCAGGACTGTGGTCGGACTTTCAGTACATTCTTGATAAGCTATCACGTCTTATGCAGAGAGAAACGAGTATCCTCTTCTCATTGTTCTTGTGACCTGATCACACCCCCCCCCCTTGTCTTCATCCGTGTCATAGACCTGCACTTCATCCAAGAGCGACTCCACGTTCCTGTCTGTACTCAGACACCGTAGCCTGTACTCAGACACATGACCAGACTTGGTCATCTGGCTTCAGCCTGCCTTTCGCACTCTGCATGTCTGTCCTTTGTGACCCAAGGACACAAAGACCCAAGTCTTCTCATGCTTTTTCTTCCCTCCCTATATTCCTGTCAGATACAGCATACTGAATGGAAAGATGCCATTTTAACAACCATATTATGAAAAATAGCAAACCTATAGAAATAACGAAAAACATTTAGTCACTAAATTTCCAAATATCTCCTGCTATAAATATTTTTTTAATTTGTTTCAATCAGGACCCAAATAAGTTCCACAAGTTGTAATTGGTTAATATATTTTAAGCCATACGTTCCCCCTCTGTCTGGACTTCATCTCAACCTCTGTACCTTTTTATTGTTACTGGAGTAAGTTATTTTTTTTTTAAGTTTATTTATTTATTTTCAGAGAGAGAGGGAAGATGGTCTGTGTGTGCCTGAGTGGGGAGAGGAAGAGGGGGAGGGAGAGGGAGAATCCCAGCAGGCTCCCTGCTGTCAGCACAGAGCTAGCTGCCAAGATCGTGACCGGAGTCAAAATCAAGAATAGGGTACCTAACTGACTGAGCCACCCAGGCACCCCTAAGTTTAAGGGTGAATGTGGATAGTGAAATGTGGGACTCACCACTGACGTTCAGATGCACAGTTGTAGAATTCTTGTGCATTTTCCACGCACTTAAAGCCAGCACTGGCTTACAGATACAAGTCTCTTAAATTATGCTTTCATTCACGGAGATCCTTGATGTACTTTATAAGACATACAGACACTCTTCATACATGTACACGCGGTGAGTTTGCTGAGAGAAGTGAGGTTACAATCTTTACAATTCAGGGAAAGAGAAGGATGTGCTGACCTTCAGGCCAATCTTACTTGTCTGCTTCAGTGGTTTTTAGTAAATTAGTAGTTTTCCTCCTCCTCAGTATATACTCTCCCCCTCTTATTTCATATTTTCTCCGTAGTCTCAGGACTGGCTTTTTATGCAATTTATTACTCTTTATAGTTTTCTACCAATTCTGTAATGCCAAAGACCACTCATCAAAGACACTGTAGAAGAGGTTTGGAATTAAGTAGAAGGTGTGCCCAGAGTTGACCTCTGTGGTCCTTCCACTCCAGGATTCATGTAAATCAAGAAAGAAGCCTGATGCTGGGAAGGAAGCTGAAAGGCAGGAGAGAAACCGCTCAGGCTACTGGTGGTGAAGAGTCAGCTGAAGGTGGTTTAAAAAATTATAGCACATTGCTTTTCTGCCCCACCACATCTCAAACCAGCACTTGTTTGAGCGGATGTACACACCGCAGGGATAACATAGGCAACTATGCTACACTGGCCAACGAGGGCCATCTCCGTAACCAGAGAACTCAGCAGAGAAGTCCGATGTAATTAGGTTCTCTCAATTTTTTGTTCTGTGCCAAGTTCTAACCTTTTATTGTTTTAATACAGGAACTCTCGATTAAATGGGTCTCAGGAATTTTAATCCCCTCTTAAGAAAGTACTTTCTAATCCTGGTGAAGGAAGCTTTTCTTGCAGTCTTAAGATTTCTCTTTTAACTGTTTTTGCTACATAGATGAAGTGAGCTTTCATCTGGGCTCACAAATGTGAGACACTTGTTAAGTGAACCCAAGTTTTGTGGAAAATTGGGTGCTTGAATCAGCGGAACCAAGTTATGCTATTTATCATTTATTTTAAATCGAGTAATAGCTGGGAAGAAACCTAATGACCTGGTAACACTTGTAATAGCTTTCGATCCAAAATGTAAAAGTGCCAAAAACGAAAAATTAGTGACTTACTGAGTTTGGCAGTAGCAATTGGGAAAAACATCTATTGTTTCACATGCAAATGTTGCTAAAGGAATTTTCACATTAAAGGTGAACCACCAAGTTTTTCTCCTTTTTGTTTGATAATACTACATCGAGAAACATCTTGGAAGACTGTGGATATTGTTGCAAATAGTGCCCTTAGGGTTTTGTAGCTCTGTTTTCTATAGACAGCTTTCCCCTTACAGTGTTTTGTCTCGGGGGTATGTCAGCAATTCTGCTCACAGTCTTCAGGGGAAAAAGTTGTATTGTAATTCTTGTATTTTCTTTCATCCTTAAAAAAATTGGTAACATTCCTCAGAGGAGATCTTTACGTTATTTAATATAATATTTTGGGATTTCAGGGCTGAAAATAATGATTAATCAATTTAGTGGCTTTTGGCAAATAAAGTATTTAAAACAACATATGTTGGGTGCTTGGGTGGCTTGGTTGGTTAAATGTCTGACTCTTGATTTTGGCTCAGGTCATGATCTCATGGTCCATGAGATCAAGCCCCATGTCAGGCTCAGTGCAGAGTGCAGAGCCTGCTTGGGATTCTCTTCTTCCCTCTCTGCCCCTTCCCTCCTTGTGCACTCACTGTGTGCTCTCTCTCTAAATAAAAAAGTGCACATTTTACTATTTATGTTGAAAAAGTTCAGGAATAGAAACCTCCTAACACATTGATATAATCATCCTACTGTAAGTATTTGAAAACAAAAGTAAACTAGTCCAAGATCAGGAAGCACTGTCCTTTTGTAGTGGAAGCTTTGTAATTAAATCTTCCATCCTTTTACATGAGAAGCAGGAGAGGGTGACTTAATAAACTGTAACACTAAATCCATTTGTCCAATTAGTAGAATACTTTTTAACAATATTTGAGTGATTTGACTACTTAAAAATTTCAGTTGGCTTTAAGAACAAAGCGGAACTCTTCTTCAAATCTCTTAAAACCTAGCTTGGAAAAAAAAAAAAAACCTAGCTTGAGCACTGATGGGGAAATGGGGATTCAGACAGTTTTGGAGAGAAATAAGGTCACTTAGTAACCTTAGTTGACAAAGTGTAATTTCTGAAAAATACTTACTTTTTAGTTTTATCTCCAGGAAAATGAAGCAAGACTATGAGGATAATGGAAAAGTGATCTTAGTTTTTCTTTATCTATTTCATCTGTCATTTCCCTATATAGTTGGAAAAGAAACCATATTCAGAAAAAGAGAATATTCATCCTTCCATATACCTGAGAGGTTTATTCTGCAATACTCAAAAGCCTTACTTTCAGCACTTTATTGGTGTATATTCGACTTATCCGTTGCGGGAGAGAAGTACCCAAGTTTCTCTTGCTATTTCAGATAGGCATCATGTGTCATGTCATTGAGGGCTAAGGTAGAGGATGTGGTAAGTTTCTTGGCTTCCCCAAATCTGGATTTTACTCTCAGCCTCCATTATTTTGTTTGTAGTTTTATAAGTTCTTGGGACATTAGAGACTGTAGCAAAATATTGTTATAAAATCACATATCAATGCTAAATATTGGTATATAGGGCTTTAGAATTCTTTTTACCATTAGAATAGACCAATTTTGACCCCACAGGGAGAAACGCTCCAAAGTATTCCAGAGGTGACTGAAAAACAATATGCGCCAAAAAGTTTTTTTTTCCAAACAATAAATTTTATCTGATTTATATTCCTTTTAACCATGTAACAAAAAAATGAACGTGTCCAAAACGAGAAAAAGAGCCTCTGTGGAAAAAGGAAATTGGCTGTAAGGAAAAATAAAATTATTATTGAAATGCAAAAAAATGTTATCTCATTGAAAGATTATATTCTTGAGATAAAATAATCTGAAGTTCTGACACCTTATTTCATAAACAAGAGAAAATTTACTGGTCATGATATGAAATGTGTGTTTATGTACTTTAATATTCTTGTTTTACAAGAGAGAGATCTATCTTCTCTTACTTTTGCACAGATCAACACAGTGTGGCTGGATAAAAGGCAAGTCCCCTCTCAGAATGCCTGGGTGGCTCAGTCAGTTGAGCATCTGACTCTTGATTTTGACTCAGGTCCTGATCCCAGGGTTGTGGGATTGAGCCATGTATTGGGCTCTGCACTGAGTGTGGAGGTTGCTTAAGATTTTCTTGGGGCGCCTGGGTGGCTCAGTCGGTTAAGCGTCCGGCTTCGGCTCAGGTCATGATCTCACGGTTCGTGGGTTCGAGCCCCGCATCGGGCTCTGTGCTGACAGCTCACAGCCTGGAGCCTGCTTCGGATTCTGTGTCTCCCTCTCTCTCTGACCCTCCCCTACTCACGCTGTCTCTCTCTCTCAAAAATAAACATTAAAAAAATTTAAAAAAAAAAAAAAAAAAAAGATTTTCTCTCACTCCCTCTGGCCGTTTGTCCCTTTTCCCCGCTCGCTCTGTCTCTCTAGAAGAAGGAAAAAAAAAAAAAAAGAAGTCCTTTGCTCAGATGACAGCTAGACATTATGTAACAAGCAGCAGCATTTGCTATATATTAATATGCACAATGCCACTTGTTATTTTAAGCATTTTATTTATTTTTAATGCTGTCTGATTTTTGGAATGGTTTTAGATGGTCATACCAAAGAATGAAAGCATGGATGACTCATGAAAGATTGGTTACTAAAGACAAGGTAGTATACATTTATGTGATATAAATCTGCATTTACAATTTACCTTTGAGTCCTAATCTGATTCCTGACTTGCACATAACCTTTGCAAGATATATTTTGAATGAAGATATTATGTATAAAATAAAGGAAGTTAGGAAGGGTTTTTTCTGACCATTTGGAAGATGTACCTAGTTTCTAGTAGTCTATTAATACTTATTAAATCCATATTACTTCTGCATAAATATTTTAAAGGGCAGAGAGCTAAGAGTAAGGATAATTACTTCCTTTTTAAAGAAGAAGATTCATTTTCGGTAAACTGTAGTGTTAGTAGTAATGGAGACATGGCAAAGGAGTAATTCCTTATACTTTGAAGATTTATATATCTATCTAGCTCTATACGTACAGATAAATGTTTATGTAACTTATCAGATAATAGTGTAAATCCATGAATTTAAAAGTATCACGACCGCTAGGGAATGAAAAGTGGTCTAAAAATTATTGGCCAAGGGATGTCACTGACCACAGGCGTCTAGCAGCATACTTTAATAGGCACTACAAATGTAAGATTATCCAAAGTCCATTGCAAACCCTGAAAACAAAAATATTTTTGACATTTTTGTGCTGATTTGATTCTGATTTAAGAACTAGAAAAACTAAGAATTAGGTAACCTGACATTTATTACATTTGTCCCAGATTATTTTAGGCTTGGCTGGAAAGGGGGATAGATTATGAAAAAGTAACTATGCTGTAGGTAAAACAATATTCCTTAGTTTCCGTCATTATTTTTAAAGACTTGATAAACAGTTTAGAACACATAATCTACTTTTTTCCCAAATCAGCCATGAAACATCTGCATCATAATTCATTTGAGTTCTCAGTGGCAAAAACTAAAAGATGTCTGGCCTTATTTGTGATATGGCTGATCCATTTAAGGGGATTTATAACAAGCTTTGGGCAGTTTATTTTTTCTATGACTAGACCGGGAACATTCATGGGAAATAACACTTGGTGAGACAGAGTAGGAAGGGGAGGAGGGTATTCAGATTTTTTTTTTTAAAGCAGATACTTAAAATTTTAGTGATTTCTCTTTATTTATTTCAGGCATTTTCAGTTTTTGCCCCTTTATCATAAGTATGTTGCAAGTGTAGTATTACAGTGACACTACATTCCATACTCTTGATCATGATTTTAAAAATTCTTTAGATTTACATTTTCTTTCACGTCTGCATACACACTTAGGTATAGGTGCATTGCATTTATCTATAGGTGTTCAAAAAGCGTGAATATGGGATGCCTGGGTGGCTTAGTCAGTTAAGCATCCAACTTAGGCTCAGTTTATGATTCGCAGGTTCAAACCCCACGTTAGGCTCTGTAT